AGAAAAGTTGAATTTTCATAGGCCAAGATTGAAAGCAGAAGTGTTTTGAATTTTTAATATTAGATACCGATTTTTCCTTTTCACATATAGTTTTTTATATGCAGTACAAGTGGACCGATCGAAACCGAATGTACCGGGGTTTGTAGGGTGTAATCAACATTAAGCCTGATGAACAGAAACTTTAAGCAATGATGTAGGAACATCGAAAACTAACATACCTCGGCGAACATTAAAGCAGCGTTCCACTAAATAAGGCAAGTCCATAACTCAAGGAAGACGTTGCTGACTTGTTTATATCCAAAGTATGTCCATTAAAATGTCAGGAGTGATATCTCGACATCAACTGGAATGTGGCCAATCATGATATGACGAGTCTACTAGAAATGGCGACTGCATTTTGCATTCTCTGCCCGCACGTAGCAACGAGCAAGTTCAAGGCTGGTCGTATCTCGCTTCCCATTGCTACTATTCCTGTTCACACGGTGCATTAATTTTCTATTAGCTCTAACTTTGGTATGGAACCCTAGTATCTCATGTTTGTATTAGATTAAACTATTCCATTAAATAAAATATTAGTGTTTATTCCTCATGTGTCAATATTTATTAAAGACTTACCCAGTTCATGTTTATCGTGGTTCTAAGTTTCGTAAATTAATTTGCTTTCGCAATATTATACTTAAATTTGTTATATGGATGAAGAGTAATCCTGCATTGCATGTGCAAGCGCATTAATTCTGCTCACAAACGCGACTACCACCATTGTCTATCACTCCACTGAGGGTCGAGGACCTCATAAAGGATTAATGACACTATTGTAGGGGTTACAGTCTTCTTTTTTTTTTTATCCCAGCCACCTGCGGGTGCATAATGCGATTTGCAAGGCGTGAGAGCGAGAGTTTTATAGGTTTTGTAACTGTTGCAAAAAGGTTAAGCTGGTGAGACTTTTTTATTGATATTTGTTTCTTATATACCGACCACGTTACGTCTTGCTATATCCATACATATACTATGATTTATATTCAACTCTGTGCTGCTTACGATAATACGGTTCAAAGTCCAACCAAAGTGTAAATTTAACCTACTGTTGATTGTACCTATAACTTTTGCGTATTTAAAGATTTGTTTGGTACTTAATGCATTCTTATGCGTTAGTCTATCGACTTAATTGAAAAGCCATAGTTTACATTGTTTATAACGAAACATCGACATTTCAGGGCAAAAAGGTGTACAATCCAAAGTACAGTTTGCAAGGTGAGTGAATGTTATTATAATATATGTATATTTACAGTTATTTTGGTTTGTATCCTTTTTAATTAACTGACTTCAAAAAAAGGAGTATTTTTTGTATGTTACGCGATAGCTCCAGGCATTTGTGAACCGATTTTGATGATTGTTTTTTGTTGGAAAAAGTGTACCTCAGTATTGGTCCCATTTAAATTTGAAGGAAATTTTTCACCTCTAAAGGTGGCAAACTAGGGGATGAATCCGATTTCGCGCACTTTTCGGTAACCGATTTCAATAAAACTTGGCAAATAGATGTAATTCTCGTTAATGTAATTGTCGTTTTTTATATAAAAAAGTTATTATTTTCACGAAAAATATTTCTTGGACTTAATAGATGGAAAGAGCCAAAAAAAATAAGGCAATTATATCAATGGAATTTTTGATAAAATTGACTTTTACACCTTTTCTTCCCCGAAGTATCGATATGGCAAATTTTCATAGACTGTATACAACACAAAGTTTCTTGCGTCATTGACAGCGAAGTGCAAAATTAGCATAGTGCATCCGCAAACTGTTTGTTCATTGCATCTCGTCCCATGAAAACGTTCCCACCGACCAATCATGGCACGCTATTTTAGTTAACAGTCTTTGTACTTTATTACATTGTGTGCAGATGGAATACTGGCAACATTTAATTAGCTATTGTGCAAATTTTGACTTGTATTTCTAAAATTATTAATAACATTGACTCAACCCTACAGAATGTAAAAAGACTGTTAAATCCTGGCTTAAGAATGACTTATGATAACGCAGAAGGCTGGCTAGAAGTTATTTCATAATTATATAACATTTCGACGATATCTGTGGTCAAGTAGTTTGCACAGCGGTTTTCATGGTGGCACAATCTCTGAGGTCCTGGGTTCGATCTCCGGCCGGGCCAATGTAGAAACTAATTAATCCATATTTTCTCGGATCCGGGTTTGTGGTACTTTCGTTGTTTCCGATTTCCATAACACAAGTGTTTTAGTTACTTACTCCGGCATCAGAGTAAGTAACTTAGTCAGTTTTGTAATATGTATTTATTTATATTATATAACTCATATTTAGTATATTTAGTAGCTGTAGCGCTCCTTGTGAAAGAGTTCGTCCAGGACAGAACTGCCACCTTACCTATTTCTGCCACGAAGCAGTAATGTGAGCATTACTGCGTTCCGGTTTCGAAGGGTAAGGGAGCTGGTGAAATTACACGCACAAGGGACTTGTCAATTTATGTCTCAGGGCGCAGTGGCACTGCCCCTTGAATCTTTGTGATTTAAAGCTCTGAGTGGCACTGCAGCTGTTAGGAATGGGCTTGTCGCTTGCCACCAGGTCGCGTCACTTAATATTAAAAAAAATATATAACTATAAAAAATATATAAATTGATTTTGAATTTGAATTACGCATCGCAATTAAAGTATATTAGAGTTTTAAGATTTAATTGTATGGCTTTATGAAGGTTGTATAATATAACTAAGGTTCCATGTTTTCACTGTTTATGATATTATCATAGCTTCCTTTACATTTGTTTTACTTGTATTAAGTTAAGTTACAATGAAATAAATTTATTTTTATCTTTAGCCTGAACATTTGTGATCTTTTGACTGAGAATAATTCTATCGTTTGTCTGCAAATATTAATATTGTACACATCTAAAACAGATGTGTATAATATTTAATATTTTTGTAACACCAATGGATTTTTTTAGTCAATTTTATAATTTGAATCGGTGTGAAAAAAAAATCATTAAAAAACCTGATATTCAGGAAGTGGCAAAAACGTGCTTGTTCCCTAGACACTTTAGATGTGTGTATTTCTAATTGAAGTCTCCTCAGAAAGACATTTTTGATTATGAGCTGGCAATGATTTGTTTCTGTAATTCGTTTCATTATAATACGTCTTAAATTTGTCTATTTGACAGCCCGGTAATGAAATGTGGCGTAGGTGTGTTCAATTTGCAGTCATCATCATCAATCCATTTATAAGTCCCACTTCTGGGTACAGGTCTCCTCTTGGGCGAGCGTTGGATCCATAGTCCGCCACGCTGGCCTAATGCGGATTGGGGACTTCACACATTTTTCGAGAGTGGTGAACATTTTTCGACATGGTAAATTGCAAATTAAATTTCGCACATATATTCCGAAAATTCAGAGGTGCGAGTCCGGATTCGAACCAACAGTCTTTGCTTGAGAGGCTGTAGGTGTAATCTCAGTACAGAGTATATACTTTTAAACTTTTACGTTGCATTGTACTAACATTTGGAAACGGGCATAAACGCGTTTACATACGAATAGGTATTAGTCAGCCCGTGACCACGGCCAGTGCAACCTGGCCGAAACGTCGGGAAACTAGGTAGGTGTGAAAAATACCTTTTCGTATGTAAACGCGTTTATTCCCTTTTCTAAATCTCAATACAGAGTACTAAAAAAACTGACCTCAAAAATCATTCATCCCCTAGTTTGCCACTCTTGAGGTTGGAATATTTTCTTCAAATTTAAATGGGACCACTACTGAGGTACCCTCTTTCCAGCTAGAAAAGAATTATCAAAATTGAACCGATTTTGAATGGACTTATCGCGTAACATACATAAAAAAAAATAACATACAGTCGAATAGAGAACCTCAATTTTTTTTTAAGTCTGTTAAGAAGGATATAATGTTTATGACACGTGTTATGAAAAGTGCCTTTTATGAAAGGATTTTTTCATTCCTAGGTATATCATGTAATTTGCATCGTCTATCAAATGTAACTTCTGAATATGATCTCAGATTACGTAATAATTACTTCGCATAGTAGTACATGATAATATAAAACTATAAACTCAAGTAGTTTACATTATAAATCGTACCCTAGGTGTAATAAGTACACACCTGCAAAATGAAAACTTTTCAGGAGAAAAGTTTAAATATTCTATGAATGATATTAGTCGGTAATTTTATTATGTTTAAATAGGAATTATAAAATTTCACACAATTATACGTAAGTTATATTATGTATTTTGTCTTTTTTTATGACTTTATTGTGATAAAAGCACTTTCTTTATTATACTAAAGGTACTCGTAGATTATTATACCAAAATTACTAAACTGGATTATGGAATTCTGTTGAAAAATCACTTTGTCATTTTGTACGATTAGATAGCTGCAGTTGCAAATAGTTCCCGACTTTAAGATTGCAGCAAGCTGTGGTTTATGGGCAGTGAAAACAATTCGGGGCGCAGTTAAACAGGTTCCGTACTGGCGGCGCAATGGATTTATTGTGCACAGAAACGGACCAAAGCTTATTTATCTAGCCTACTTCAAAGTGCCTAGCATTTATCTTAACTATTCTATCTTGACATGTTATAACGTCGCCGTTTGAGCTTGCAATCATGTATTGATCTTAATGCATAAAGGTTCCATTTAATTTGCTCAGTAGTTATTTTAAAAAACTCAAAATTAAAATCATAAATAAATTGGAGTAAAGATAGATAGATTGAGATAGTGCAATTGCCCGGGAGGTAATGACTCCGAGGATAATCGATTGGAAGAAAAAAAATCCAACAAGACGTTAATGGCTCTCCTTTGCTGAGGATGTTACTCATAAAACAACCGTAAGCCTCGGTGAGAGTCAGAGACCAAAACAACGAGTGCTTACCGTTGTCCGTGCTGGCCTCAAAAGAGAGAGGCTAGGCTTGAAGCTCGGGGGAGGCATGGAAGGCAGGCTGCAGCTACATGGAGGCGCATTGTCACACCGGACGGCCGTCGCATCGGCCGCGCGTATAGACCTGCGTACGCGCACCACGCGATAACAAAACACGATAGCGCACCGCCCGCCGCGCATCGCCTAGCACGAAAACTGCATCGGCACGATAGTAGTGACGAACGCGACAAACAATAACAAAAAATTGTTTTGAGTGTTAGTTTTTACTATTTAAAAAAGATACTCGACTGTCGTAAAGATTGTTCGATGTACAGCGTTTCTGTGTAATTTCGCGAAGTTTCTGCTCGTAACTTTAAACATGTCATTGTTTAGAACAGTAATATTAGGGGTTAAAGTATGAAATTGCCGTTTTATTGCAATAGGTTCTTTGAATTTTCATAGAATCTTCATGGTTTGAGGTTTTCGAATGAAACTTTTATCAAATGGTTTCTGTGATTTTTTTTTTTAAATTTGAAACATTTGAATATCGACTTTCAATTGTTTTTGTTATTCAATTTAGACAAGAAAGATGGATACTGCGAAAATTCGAGTGATTTTTGAATACGAGTTCCGACGCGGAACTAACGCGGCAGAAACAGCCCGCAATATCAATGCTGCGTTTGGAGAGGGGTCTACTAATGAACGCACCGTGCGATTTTGGTTTAAACGCTTTCGTGATGGAAATTTCGACTTAAAGAACGAGCCACGAGGAAGACCGCCCACACAGGTGAATAACGATGAATTAAGAGAGATAGTGGAAGCCAATCCTAGTCAAACTACCCAGGAATTAGCGGCATGGTTTAACGTTACCTTACCCACAATATTGCCTCACTTGCGTCAAATCAATAAAATAAAAAAATACGAAAAATGGGTGCCTCATGATTTGACTGATCTGCAGAAAGAAACGCGTGTTGAAACTTGTGTTGCCTTGTTGAACCGGTACAGAAATGAAGGAATATTGGATCGAATTGTAACATGTGATGAAAAGTGGATTCTTTATGATAACCGGAAAAGAAAAATGCAATGGCTGACCCCAGGTCAAATGCCACAACAGTGTCCTAAAGCAAAACTTACCAATAAAAAGGTAATGGTAACTGTATGGTGGTCTCAGCATGGTGTTATTCACTGTAGTTTTCTCCGATCTGGTCAAGCAATAACGGCAGATGTCTATTGTGCCGAACTCCGAACCATGTTGACAAAACTAGCAGTAAAACAGCCCCGACTCATGAATCGATCTTCACCATTATTGCTCCACGACAACGCGAGACCTCACACAGCACGAGAAACCATTTTGACCCTTCAGGAACTGCAGTTAGAAACCATTCGTCATCCTCCGTATTCACCAGACCTTGCTCCAACGGACTACCATTTTTTTCGTGATTTGGACAATTATCTACGTGACAAGAAGTATTCTTCCCAGGAGGCAGTACAAAATGCTTTCACACAGTTTGTGCTGTCTAGATCGTCGGAGTTCTATCGCAAAGGCATTAATAACCTTCCCATTAGATGGCAGCAATGTATAGATAATAATGGCAACTATTTTGATTAAATAAATTTGTTAAAAATTTAAAAAATAAACAATTTAGATTTTCAGTACAAATCGGCAATTTCATACTTTAACCCCTATTATTAAAAAGTTTCACACATTATGAGACTTATTGTGGTAATCCACATTACCTCGCTTAACAACATCGTGTGAATTCTGTAAATATGCACTTTGTGCCGTGCCAGTGATTTTTCATAATACACTTGTTTAAATTTAAATATTCATTTTAATTCGGTACGTTTGTTTAGATACCATTATCTAAACAAAGGTACCAAATTAAAATATTATTATATAGCATTGCTAACCCATTAACACTATTTTCTAATGAGGGTCATTTGCTACTTCTGTAAGATGGTCTTAAGTCATCAATTGGTAGTAAACTAAATATTTTAAATGGCCTATAAAATGATCTAGTCTGAAGTAGTGCAGTACAAGAATGCAATCGTGCCCATGGTAATCACGACTCTCAGTACATTATGGTAAGAAATTTGATAACCATTATGCGTTTGTAGGTCACACCGCTACTTTATGAAGGCATCTTTGTTCACAGCCTTATTATTTCGACTACCTATTTCTTTTGACCGTACGATGGAGAAATTCTAGTTGTTAACCATAATTAGGATGAAAGAGATTCCCTGAATATTTTAATTAGCAATTAATCTCATCATACGTTGGCATAGGAAACTGTAGAGAAGTCCAATTTAACATATAAATTGTCTAAATATAAGTGAGATGATGCCATGCGGTATTGCACAATTGTAACAATTTGTGCTGATTTCCTATCATGGCCTTGACTCCTGGGGTGTAATTATTGACTCCAATCATACTTATCGTTTACGTCCAATTTATCTTAATTAAGAATACTTCCTAGTTAAACTAAAGATGCATTATAAATATGATCTGTTTTCCATACAAATATTGTGTATATTTTTGCTAAATCAGCGTAAACGTCTTGCACCTTGCTTTACCGGCTTGGTGTCTGAATTGAACATTGTCTATATTGTCATCTACAAGTTAACTTTAAAGATACAGTCCATTAAGTAGTTTTTGTAAGTACAGCCGATCAATCAGTTCCCTTTCTTGTTTGACCTTGACATGAATGGATGCCCTTAAACTTTAAATCTCGAACCGCCTTTGATCGATGGCGTCGTGAGTCATTGCATTTTGATATTGAAATTGTAATGAAAGTTCCTGTTACCTGGTGAATTGTCATGTGGCGGTGATGAGATATAATCTGAAACACTGCTTGACTTTACTGATAATTGGATATAACCATTATGATAAAGTTTTCAGTACCTCTTTGCGTTTAGTATTCCACAGTCTCTATTATAATTATTATAATTGTTGCATCTTGGAAATGAAAGTTATACTCATATTTAAAAAGTTTGTATACCATATTTTAGTCTATCAGTACAAGGAAGACAACCAAACGAGCCAATATGCCTAATCATAGCTGCATTGTACCTTATCTCGGAAACATTCATATGCAATGCAGGTTCTTACTGTTGAAGTGGTTTCCACACGTTGCATCTCTATTTTACTCGGACTCGGGATTTCCTCAAGGTGTCTCTTTCTTTATAGTGTTTCCAATTTAATCATTATTTCTTTCCAAGGAACTACCTTACAGTATACAAGCATAGTATAGATAATAGTCTAAAAATTACGTATTTAGTTTATCTAAATTGATTTTGTTAATGTATTTCTTCTATGCGCGTATATTAACACGTCTGCCTTTAAATGAAATATCACAACATAGTCCACACTAGGTGTTTGACCAATTCCAAGAAACAACCAATAGATTATGAAATACAAACAAAACAAAGTTCTAGCAATCAGTAAGGCCATGTTGTCGACTCAAGTCCATTGCGATGTGGACGTCACAATAAACAGCATTCATTACCGTCTTGCTAGAGTGAGCACAAATTCTTAATACGATTTTTAGCATACCTTTGTATAGGTATCACATTAACTTAGATAAGTAGCTAATGCAGTGCTAGCTTTAGATCCAGAAAACATAATTAATGCATTGCCGCTTATTTCTCTTTTCATAGGTAGGGTAGTACACTCATATATGTAAGAAGAGAATCGTCTCGTGTTTTCCTTGTTTGGGCGTATTTTCTATATTTTGTATTTCGGTCATGAATGCAAGACATGTTCATTCATATATTTTGTTATGATTTTCTACATACACATACGTAGATTCAAAATTCTAAAATCTTTTAATTTGATTGTTTCAGTCCCAAGGGCTTGGATCCTATAAGTCTCCTTATATGTGTGTTATAAGCAAATTCGTGAAAATTGATTATTGGTAAATAGATAAATCGCGCATGCATACGTGACTCACTGCCCGTAGGTGTCTTATTTCGTATGCGCGAGCGCAACGCCTAGGAAATGCATTTGTATAATAATAGTTATGGAGGCACTGTCGGTTCCAGAAATTAGGTGGATAACGTAGAACATTATATCAAGGTGGTAATATGACTCGTATTATTTATACCGACGTTAGATAAATGCGGTAAGCAGAAATATCGTCATCAGTGATACATGATACTTTATACACATAGTCATCAATGATACATGATACATTATGCAGATTGTACGTTAATATTTTTCCTCCTTTTATCAACTTTATTGACTTCATTTGAAATACACTATTAAGTCCCGACTTAATAGTGTATAAAAACATATTTTATTTACCTCGACGTTTTGGACGTGTTGCAACGTCCATGGCCTCGAAGGAACTTCCCTTCTTCCCAGTCCTACGTTTAAGTCCCAAATTTAAAATCTAATAATGTATGAAAATGGTGAAAGTTTAAATAGATGTATTTATTGTGCTATTCAGTAACTGTATTAGTTTTTAATTGCCACTATCTATATTTGTCCAGTAAGATGTTAGATAATAAATCGAATTTGTTTTTGGTTGCTTATGTAAAAACGACAGTGTTTTCAATCATAAATTCCTAACTTTGTTTCTTATACCAGATATTGAAGTGAGTAATCGTTTTCACGTTAATCGTGCGCCGTGGTTTCGCGAATACAATGGTAATAGTGCAATTTGCATTGGAACACTTGAAATTATGCAAACGGTAACGATAATGAGTAGTAACAACACGCTTTTCTACAAGGATGTTGTTTACTTTCGCTTAGTTCTGTCCCTGGATCATATTCTCACGAAATATGTAAAACCATTTGAATCTTTTTTGTAGACAAGAGGTTTTACGATAACTTTCTGGTACGGTATAAAAAATCCAATTAAACATTTATTGCTCCTCGAATGAGACCCATAATCCTCGTAATCTTTATTTAATTACACACTAACCTATAACAACACCACAGGTTGTTACCAATCTTTTATTATGGTGATAATTCACCAAACTGACGCTTTGGCAACCGCAACAAAACCTAACTGGAGATCGTTGTCTCGTTTATCATATCACTTTCAATTAACGGTATATTTTATTATATCGGAGTTACTATAAAGTAATTAAAACGGTCCAACATGACCGCAAATCTCTTTTTAACTGTAAGTGAGGAAAAAATTGGCAAAAAAAATTGGCGACCTTATCAACGGTGTCGAAAGTTCGTTGACCGTGCGTTCTTGCCTCAATCTTACTTTGAAACTGTAACCAGGTTTTGCCTAACTTTAGAAATCAATCAACTCATTATTAAG